CACAAACAGAGGAAGGGTCACTGGACCCAAAACGTTAACTCAGATTTCTCTTCACAGATGCTGCCAGACCTGCTGAGCTTTTCCAGCAACTTCTGTTTTTGTTTTAAATAAGTACTTTGCATCTGTATGTCCTTCCCTATAGTGAACTGCGGATATGAAAATCAGGGATAGGACAGTGGATACACATTAACCAATTAGCATTAGAGGGAGGTGGTTTTGGCACAACTAAAAGTGAATAATGCCCCAGGTCCAGATGAGACTGCTGTGGAAGGTATGGAGGAGATAATAGGGGCTTTAATGTTAATTTTCAAATCCCTCCTCACTATAGAATAGGTGCTAGAGGACTGGAGGACCAGCTAACGTGGTACCATTATTCAAGAAATGTGGCAGGGCTAACGCAGGAATCCACAGGGCAATGAGTCTAACAGTTGTGGTAGGGAAACTATTAGAAAACATTCTGATGGGCAGAATTAATCTCCACTTATAGAGGCAAGGATTAATCAAGGATAGTCAACATGTTATTAAGGGCTTGGTTGAAGGGAAATTTCTTAGTGTTAAGGCCTTGAATGGAGAGAAATTCATAATTTTGAGGGTTTGGATAGAAAAAAATTTGTTCAGGAAGAATTTCTCATGCAGAATGTAGATGGCCCTACCAGAGAAGGAGCAAAACTTGACCTTCTTTTGGGAAATAAAGCAGAGCAAATGTTGGAAGTGTTAGTAGGGGAGCACTTTGTGACCAGTGGCCATAATTCTATTAGTTTTAAAATAGCTATGGGAAAGGATAGGTCTGGTCCGCAAGTTGAAGTTCTAAAAGGCCAATTTTGATGGTCTTAGACAGGAGCTTTCAAAAGTTGATTGGGAGAGGCTGTTTGCAGTGGGAGGCTTTCAAAGGTGAGTTAATGAGGGTCCAGAGCCAGCATGTTCCTATTAGAGTGAAGGGTAAGGGTGGCAGGGGTAGGGAACCCTGGAAGACTAGACTTATTGATGGAGAGCAAGCTAACATTTTGAGTCCTGATGACTGTCCATTAGAGTCATCTAGACTGTAAACATTAGCTTACACTCTCTCCATGGATGCTGCCTGACCCACTGTGATCTCTAGCTTTTGTTTTCAGTACAGATTCCAGCATCTGCAGTGATTTGCTCCTAGAGTTATTGAGGCCATGGCCTTGGAAAAGGAGAAGGTATATGACATGTATAGATAGCTGGGATGAAGTGAGTTCCTTGAGGCGTATAGAGTGTGTCGGAGTACACTGAAGTGAAATCAGGAGGGTAAAAAGACAACACGAAATGGCTTTGGCAGATAAGGTAAAGGAGAACCCAAAGAGATTCTACAAGTACATTACGGGCAAAAGAATAACTAGGGAGAGATAGGGCCTCTTAAGATCAACAAAGTCATCTATGTGCAGAGCCGCAAGAGATAGGTGAGATCCTAAATGAATACTTTTCATCAGTAATTACCATTGAGAAAGGTATGAATGCTAGTGAACTTGGGGAAGTAAATAGTAATGTCTTGAGTGTGTCCACATTACAGAACAGAAGTTGCTGCAAGTCATAAAATATATTAAGGTAGATAAATCCCTGGGACCTGATGAAGTTTATCCCAGGACTTTGGTGGGAGGCTAAGGAGGAAATTGAGGGCCTCCTAGCGGAGATATTTGTTATCATCAACAACCACAGATGAAATGCCTGAAGATTGGAGTGTGGCTAATATTGTGCCATTATTAAAGAAAGAATGCAGGGAAATGCCTGGGAACTACAGACCAGTGAGCCTAACTTCCATGGTGGGTAAATTATTAGAGGGGATTCTGAGAGACCGGATCTACAGGCATTTGGAGAGGCAAGGACTCTTTAGGGATAGCATGGCTTTGTGTGTGGGAAATCGTGGCTCACGAATTTCATTGAGTTTTTTGAAGAGGTGACCAAAAAAAATAGATGAGGGCTGTGCGATAGACATTGTCTACATGGATTTTAGCAAAGCCTTTGACAAGGTACCACGTGGTAGGTTGTTGAGTAAGGTTAAATCTTATGGGATCCAGGGAGAGCTAACCAATTGGATGCAAATTTAGCTTGACAGGAGAAGACAGAGCATGTTAGTGGACGGTTGCTTTTCAGACTAGAGGCCTGTGACCAGCATTGTGCCACAGGAATCGCTGCTGGGTCCACTGTTATTCATCATTTATATAAATGATTTGGTTAAGAATTTAGGAGACATAGTTAGTAAGTTTGCAGATAATACCAAGATTGGTGGTATAGTGGACAGTGAAGAAGGTTATCTGGGAATGCAGTGAGATTTTGATCAAGTGGGCCAGTGGGCTGAGGAATGGCAGATGGAATTTAATTTAGATAAATGCAAGGTATTGCATTTTGATAGGTCAAACCAGGGCAGGACTTACGCAGTCAATGGTAGGGCCCAGGACAGTATTATAGAACAAAGAGATAGAGGGGTACAGGTTCATAGCTCCTTGGAAATGGAGTCACAGGTAGACAGGGCGGTGAAGAAGGCTTTCAGCATGCTAGCTTTCACCGGTCAGAGCATTGAGTATAAGAGTTGGGAAGTCTTATTGCAGCTGTGCAAGACGTTGGTGAGGCCACATTTGGAATACTGCATGGAGTTTTGGTCACCCTACTATAGAAAAGATATGATTAAACTAGAAAGAGCGCAGAAAACATTTACTAGGATGCTACCTGGACTGAAAAGTTTGACTTATAAGGAGGGGTTGTTGAGGTTGGATAGGCTGGGACCTTTTTCACAGGAACGTAGGAGACTGAGCGATGACCTTATAGAGGTTTATAAAATCATGAGAGGCACAGATGAGGTAAATATCTGACAGCTTTTCCCCTGATAGGGGAGTCCAAAACTGGAGGAAGTAGGTTTAAGATGAGAGGGGAGAGATACAAAAGAGTCCGTGGGGCAATGTTTTCACACAGAGGGGGAGTGAGTGTCTGGAATGGGCTGCCAGAGGTAGTGGTGAAAGCAAATACAGTTTTTCCATTCAAGAAATATTTGGAGAGATACATGGATGGTATGGGTATGGAGAGATATGGTCCAAACGCAGGCAAATGGGATTAGTTAAAATTGTGAAAACTGGGCAGCATGGACAAGTTGGGCCGAAAGGCCTGTTTCCATTCTGTTGATCGCTATGACTCTGACTCTATAATAGTGAAATGCAATAAATTTGAGATAAGAATAAGGCAGAGAGTTATGAAATCCCTTACTTTTTCCTTTAAAATCACAATAATGTGGTCTTACTGAGCGATATCAGAGGTTTCAAAAGTTTTATTTCAGCAGCTTGACTCCCTTTTTTTAAAAATTGGGCAGGAAATGGCAGAGGAAAGTTCAAAACAGATGGTTTTAGTTTATTTCTAGTTTTTTTTTGCTAGCTTTGATTTTCATCCATCACTTCATTGTCATTACAATCTCAATGGTAAACCATCCCTCGCTGTGTGAGCCTTCTCTCTCAGTCTCCTATGTAGGAAATTTCTTCTTGTACCTGCTGAAAATCAAACTTGTTTATAACAACTTGATTTTCCTCAGGCACGATGTTAATTATCTTCGAAGCAAATTCAGTAAATTTACGAGATGTGTGACCTATTGCTTCTCAACCCACACCGTCTGCTGTTTGTAACCTGAGCATCTTTGAATAAATGCCAATAGTAACAAAATGTGATAAATGCTCCTCAGTTTTCTCAATATCAACCCTCAAGGATAGCTTCAACAATACCTATTTTATTCCTTTTATGAATATTATAAATACATGTACTGTCCTCCAGTCGGCCAGTTTAGCTCCTACCAATATGCTTTAGTAGCAGATGTAAGCTCCCCACCCGCTTAAAGCTTCTCTGCCATTCAAAAAAATTGTGACTGAGCCAATTATTCCACATTCCTGCCTCTGTTTGCCTTCTCCCACCCTCACCATAATGACCTTTCATCCCTTTGCTTATCAAAAATCTATCTACCTTGGCCTTAAACTATTTAAAAACTCTGCTTTTACTGCTCCTTGAGGAAGAGTTCCAAAGACCTGTGACCTCAGACCCTGCCTATTTGCTCACACCTTTTCCTGTAGATTACAAAGTATCCCAGATATAATTGTCTGGATATTTTTAACTTAGGCAAGTTATGACACACCCTCTGGAGTAAGTGGGACTTGGTCCCAGGACTGCTTATCCAGAGGTAGGGACACTACCAAGGCATCACAAGAGCCCTCAAGATATTGTTGCTTTAATTTATTTCTTTAAGTCTATTCATCCACTTGTTTTATTGACCTTTGTTACAGTCGGAGGACTTGATAGAATGCTGTGTCTGCAAAAGCTAAAGGCCATTCGGTCTTAACTTGTAAAGCAGAAGAGAAAGAAGCCAAACAGCATGTCTCAGACTTACTGACTGGTTGGGGTCAGGTGTATAAGGTTCTAAGGACTTTAGAATTTCGTTTTTGTTTCTTTATTCTTGAAGGTCACATATTTCCATATGTGACTAATGGAGAAACTTAAAAAAAAATGGTTTTGCTTCTGAACTTCGCCAAAAGTTTTGTTTCAGTGCAATGAAGCATGATCACTCTTGCTAGTGAAAATTTCTCCACATCGTTTAATATTCACCCTTTTCCAAAACTAATCCAGTTTCTTAGTGAGTAATGTTGCACATTCTGGCTCAGATTTCCTACATGAAGAAGCCTAGAACGTTTTAAATCTCCTTGGTGTAAAGCTTCCTTCATTTTCAGTAACATTGAATCTATTCCCATGTTACCAATTCACCAACCCCACGGAAGCAATCTTCTACAGTTTACCTTTTTACAACTTGGCATTATTTTGTAAACATCTGATAGATCTAACTTAGCCCTTGTGCAAATCAAAACAGCCCAAAGATATTGACCCTCATGTCAAAACTCCACATCGCTCTCATAAATCTTTGTTGTATGCGCGGTTGTGACCATGGGTAAATTCATACTCTGATAATCTTGCTTTGTACTTTGTTGATATCAAATCTTTGTTTATTGTCTTAACAGATCCTACCTGGAGTGAGGATAATCATTGCCAATCCTGAAACAAAAGGACCACTAGGTGACTCACACCTTGGAGAGGTAAACCAAGCACAATCATTCTCCAGTTTATAAACCCTGCCCATTCTTCCTCTTCAAATAACAGCGTAGTTTACTTTTGAGTGTTTCAAGTGAACCTGCCTCCACACTTCCACACATATTGCACCCCCAACCTTAACAGCCCCTCACTCACTTGCCCACGCCTCCCCCGTCTTACATCCAACTCTGTTCTAACACTCACGACCCACTACATTCACACTCACCCACCCTGAGTCATTTACTCACTCAGTCACTGTCAACGCCCAGTCACTCTCACGCAATCCTCCTAGCTACCAATTCATCCACATTGCTCATTCACTCCCTTGTCACACACTCACCCACGCCCAGTCCCCTCATTCACTATCTCTCCGCACCCCATTACTCACTCTCCCCCCACCGTCACTCACACTCTCTCCCCCACTGTCATTCACACACTCTCCCCCTCCCGTCACTCACACTCTCGCTCCCCCACCCCACCGTCACTCACACTCTCTCCCTCACCGTCTATCACTCTCTTACCCCGACCCCCACCA